GCAATGTCATGATATTATATCATATCTGTAAAATCAGACGTGAACTGTTAAGATTGTCTTTTTGGTTACATCACTAAAATCGCTTGAAACTTTTTTCCATCTCTTAAATAAATTTCAGTTTATTTCAGCGTCAAATTATCACTACTTGATACATGACTGCTTTGTTAAATCAGAAACAAAAAATGTACTGATTGTGGATTCCAACGGGTAAGCACCGATGGAGAGTTTTAGTTGTCTATCATTTAAACAAAGCATGAAATACACTGAAGTACTACTACCTATCTTTTTTTCAGATGTGAAGTAGACCCACATTTCCTGGAAACTCCTGATTACACAAAATTTTCTAAGAATTGGAAAAATGATGCGTATGTTTTCAAAGAGATGAGTGTATTCAAATTCCCTGGAGACGGGAATGTTGTCTTTCAATGTCAGATATCATTGTGTGATATGGAAAGCGATGATGCATGCAAGGCTATGATTGTTAGTTCTCTTTTTTGATTTCATAAAATCTTTTCCAAATTTTAAAAAGGGAAAATTATAAGTTTATTCATATTCTCATCTGAGCATTGTACTTACTGTTTTCTATTTACTTCATTTAATGTATTCTTTGAAGCCTCCACGCTGCTCGCATAATTCGACGTTAAGGCTGAAACGTGAAATGGAAGCCAAGATAAAACCAGGATTTGCAATAACATTTAATGTGGAGACTCGAACATTGAATGTTTTGGAAAATGAATCAACTCGACCAGCTACTCCTATCAAGTATTGCGATGTGAGAGTATAAGCTGTACTCCAGTGAATCTCCGATCAATGAATCCTAGCTCCAAATCCATCAAATCAGTGACAAATGCCTCATCGAAAAATACTTTTTAGAATAATTAACAAATTTCAAGTCTCAGGACGAATAATGCTGGTACTGCTTTCATTCATCTGAATCCTGAGACCTTTCAAAAAATTTATAACTTTTAAATGAAAAGTTGTTATTAACGTCATATCAAAAATATATTCATTTGTTTTTCATATAGCGGGTATTTACTTCATGTATAAAACATTGTTTTTCTCATGTGTTAAGTTATTTGATATCATTCCTAAGAGTATGGGCAAGTAAAGGTAGGAAAATTTGTTCATCTAATCGCTTCCGATCACATATGCTGAAATAATTAATTTTCTATATAGCAGGACTGCTGCTATATAGAAAATTAGTGACTGACTAATGCGTCTTCGATTAATAATGATAACGAATATTTTTTGTATTCTGGACACATACATGTAAATATTAGCAGGGATCTCATCAGTTGCAACGTCCCTTTAAAAGGTCATAAATACTTTGAATAAAATTCAGTTTTGTTTAAAATTCTGAGAACTTTGACTCCTAAAGCAATATTTCCATGTAATGAACTATTTTGAATGTAGTACTTTTCTTGATTAATTTCTTGTATTACTGCCTTTAGGCAATACTTGAAATAATCTGCGCATGAACGTCATGTGCATCAAACAGCAAACACGCATGTATTTAGTGCAAAAAATGAATAAACGACTAGAAATCAAGCTGATTTATTTCTTCCGAAAGTACAGGTGCATTCAGAAGTACTATGCAGATGATTTAAAATTCCTGAGCGTGAGCGTGCTCAAGATAAAATAAAGATGTTCAAGATTGTTAGCGTTAAAAGAGGAAAAAGAATGCTCAATATGATCGTTTGTAACCAACAAAAAAAGAAAAAAAAACAATAAAGTACTAAAATCATTGTTTTTCATCTTGTCAGGTGATTCATAATCGACTGAATGCATCGAAAATTTAATAAGAAATTTAGCATTTGGTAGATTAATCAATTAAAAAAAGCAACAACGCCCACATTGCGTAATTTTATCATTAAAAACTTTATTAGACGGTTGTGCCTTCTATACAGATCAATGAGGTCATAAAATGTCTTGCTAGAAATTATGAAACATTACCAACTTCAACTTGGAGGAAAACTCCAATCTTAATTACACTTGAATTAAAACTTTTTATTTATTAGTCAAAGGAAAATACATAAGATATTTTAGTTTTAAGTTTGAATAGAATCTTTTTCAGGACATGTGCAGGACATGACGCTGAGCAATCGAGAACCATAGGGTAATTTCAATGTTTGCAATCTAAAATAATGCAACAATCCTAATTTGTTGGACACTTTGCTGAATTATTACCAGCATTTGTATAAGTACAATAAGAGTTGCAACTATATTGATAATGCTCGATTCACTGTTAAACATAAGTGATGTTTCACTGGCACTTCTTCCACTCTTTAAACTGCTAATGCTAAATCTTTAAAACAGATACATATGGGGTATTAATTAGTTAATCAAATCATACAATTACCAATATTAGCGATGTAAAAATCTTATAGCACTGAAGATGCGACGGATTCAAAAGGAAGAGTGTTGCCGCGGCAAATGATTCGTATCCAAAGGACTGAACCAGAAGAAAACGTTGTACGGACTGAGCTGCGATTTGTTATTTACCAATCGAGAAGAGATCTAGAGGAAAAAGCCCTTTTTGAGGTAACACAAACAAATTACAACCTCATAAAGTATCTCAGTAACGAATTACTTCCAGAAATGTGGTTAATAAATAATTATGTCAAAATTTAAAAGTTTAAATTGTTATTCGAAATAATGATTTTGAATTGAAAACAAACTACAGAAAACCGTAAAAAAACTGAAAGTCTTTTATTAGTTAAATATAATATTGAAAATTAGAGCATTTAATCGAACAAAAGTCTAAATTTGTGTGGAAAAAATGTTTAATGAATTACTTCAGGAAAATATAATCAATGAGGCAATACAATGTTTAATGAAAAAATATGCGGAGATGAATTTCGGACAAGTGCTGCCACCAAACATTCCAAAAGTTGATGCTAACACATTTGCAAAGGTTTTAGAATATAAGTACAATAAAAAAATATCTGAAACTATAAGTGTACAGAGGGACATAATTACACAAGTATGGATAAAAATAACAGTTCTTTCTCATATTTAATAACTTTACTATGCATCATATCTTGTTCCCGAAAATGACCCAAACCATTATTTTTTATAGACATTATCAAAAGAGGATGTATCCAAGTCATTTTCTTCAAAATATATCACTGATAAGGAGTGGATAGGAGAAGCTCAAAAACGATTAGAAGTTTGTCTCGTGCATTAAATCATATCATAAATCATTTATCGTTTTTATTGAATGAAAATTATAGAATGACTGATTTCAACGAATCTTTTCCAATGAACAACATGTTTGTTTAAATTTCATCGTTTAAGCTTACAAATATGAAAGCAACTGGTCTTTAATATATAAAATGTTAAAATATTTGATGACTAGAAAATTGTTTTTAATTCAGATATACTTCCAAATCATTTAGATGCTATTTTAGTTGGTGGCAAAACGAGTGCAGACAATTGAGAAAAGTGCAACCACGATTGCTCCTGAATTTGCAGCTTTCCAGACGCAATTGGCAACACTATTGACCGATCTAGAGGAACGGAAAAGAGCTGGTGGTAGTCCTGATGCTGCTTTCTATAATGATCAAGTTATTCGCCAAAAACTTGAGCAATTACAGCAATTCGCTGCAACAACTGCTCATGTGAGCAGTCAGAAAACTTTTTCAAAAAGTTATTAGGAAATATGAAATGAGAAAAAAAAACTAAGCAATTCAGATATCTGTCAACACTGAATAAATGAAGTTTGACACGGAGCTATTACTTTAAATCGCAGTAGATGAAGTGTAATATACTGTATCACCCAAGAAGAAACTTCTCTAAGTTACTCTTTTCTCAAAAATAATCTCTTATCTGATCGTAATGTGATACAAGCAAGCAAACAAGCCTACCGTTTACATAACCTGAGCGTATTGTAGGAATACATGAATTATGACGTGCAACAAAATGGCCTCCAAGCAGACTAATTAGAAGTCTGCAAGCAAATACGGTTAGCTGATTGTGGCAACAAAGTATTTGAATAAAACTGATTATTTGCAGTAAAAAACTTTTGAAATACTACATAATAAAGCACCGCAAGAGATAAATTAAGAAAGATGTCGAAATATGTGCTTGTCAAAATATGGCATATATGTGCTTCGACATCTTTCTTAAACAGAGACGGAATATCATTTTGCGGAGAATATTTTGCAAACTCGGAAGAATATGTTCATTAACAGGACTTGCACCCTTCTTCATGTTCTCTCTCACATTCCACATAACAGAAAGATAACACGAAACAAAGTTATAAATCCAACCAATAAAAGTTTCAAAAATTTCGACCTGAATTACGCAAAATAAGGAAACTAAGAAGTCTACCAAATACTTAAGGTATAAGTCAGGTACTTCTAGTGTTGCTAGGTGAACTTTAACTTTGCCATCAAAGTTCTATGTACCAATATTCATACGACACTTCATTGCCACTTTTAAATTATCCGTCCTTGCTCTTAGCTCTGTGCTCTTTCTTCGCCTTATATCTCTTCACTCCCACATGCTGAACAAGACTATCTTCATCACTCTCAATCCTCACCAAATGCTATCTCCCTCATTTCCTAATCATGCCCCACCACTGAAATTGACTCGGCGACCACCTCTGTTCATCCACAACAGTAAATCTTCACTCCATTCTCGTCCGAACAGTTTTCATAATAGTTGCATGCTACAACGTGTGAAATGAAGTACGTTGCTGAGGCATTGTTGATGTAATTGTGAGTTGCATAAATTGTGTTGGTTGGTGATGGATTGGTAAAGCTCCTTCTATATCTGTTAAGGGCAGGATGGGATGACATAATCATCGAATACTTTTTTGTATATTTCATTACTGCAGCACATACAATAGTTTGGGAATGTCTGAATTTGATATTTAAGTTTTTGGATAATATTATGCTATATTACTGTTTAATTTTCATTTTACTTGTTCGTTATAATGAACTATCATTTACAGATTTTAGCGATAGTGGAGAAACACTAGTAATTTAGTCAAACTTATGACCGAATTGGAGCCATTTGGAACTAAGCAGAAGATTCCTCGAAAAAATGGGAGAAAAGTATGTTCCAAAATATGTTCTGGAATTGACATATTCCTTCCGAAAAAAAAAAAAAAGTATTTCTGAGATGTGCACCATATTAAGGAATGATTCATTTCTGAAGTGGCTTGCTCTAGCTATTTCTATTTTGCACTTAAATGAACCATTATCACTTCCAAACGTCATTTTTCACTTTTATTCACACTAATTTCTCAAATTATTATTTAGAAATAATTGTAATTCCTTTTCATGCTGAATTTCCGCTACTGCTGATCGTATTTTTACTAATTGCAAAGGATTTTAGAGGAAACGTTCGCAATCAACAAGTTCAGAAGAGGAATGGTTCAGTAGTGACGAAAGCATTCACCAAGATAAGATTACTGAAGACCAGGAGGAACAACAGTTTGCTAGTGGGCCTTGGACATATGATCTGGATGTGGTGCTCGCAAAAAAAGAGTTTGAAATTAAAAATATGTGTCGAGAAATGAATGCTTCCGGTACATAGCTTTGTTCACGATTATCATAAGTCAGGAAGTAGTGATTTTAAATGACTTTTGAGTTATCTGTGAGTCTGATGAACCTCTTGTTTAGGGTTATTTCTGATATACATGGAAGTCAGTTATTATTAAACCATTATTTCTTATTATTCGCTTTTAATTAACCATCTCGTCTTTATTGTTTTTCCAATTTCTATTACAAAAAAGGAGTTATTTTATAAGTTCTTTAGATTTTACAATAGAATATGTGCAAGAAAACGGTTTGGAAGAACCTCTTCTGTTCAGAGATTCATTGAGCTCACTTGGAATGAAGTATGTTTTGTGACATATGATAAGTGTTTCTAATTATTTTTTGCAATCATTTCATTTCACTTTTCTTAAATTACATATTCCTTCCAATTAAATTTAAAAAACTAAAAGTTGGGTTTTGTTAGAATTTTTTTCATGGTAAGAATTTCTTTGTGGTCAGGAATGTCCTACGTATTTGATAAATGTTTTATTCTGTAGGATGATAATTAAACTAGGTTATGAATTATTAGAATGCCAAAAGATGGGACTTTCACTGCAAGGTGTGTATTAAAAGCAGTTGGTGATCGTATGATTGAAGTGGTTGATGTGATGACACAAGGTAGCCGACAAATGATGCTAAGTGATTTCGTTGAATATTACGAGTAAGTTCTAGAAATTGTCGCATCTTGATCTTTGTAGCATCAGTTTACTTATAAAATGACTTTATATAAATTTATGTCTAGCGTTTTTCAACATTTATTATAATAGGTCCCCACCGGCAGAACGAAAAGATCTGCTTAATTTACTTTCGCTTGAATTTTCGCTCACACCGCTCTCAAAAAAAGTACGAGGACCAGCACTAGCTCTAGAAATCGACTGGGTTGAACTCTACTGGCCAAAGAATTTACGGAACTCTCCATCTACTTTTCCTAAAGTACAGAAGTATGTTTTAGTTTGTGTAGATACTTTAATTCTATCCTTATATGTTTATTTATTTACTCATTTGTTTGCATACTTATTACTAATAATTCATTGATTTTTAAGAGAAGTTTTCATACTTCTTTCAGCTACTGCCTAATGAGTGTTAAAAGATCGTTCACTGACTTTCATATTGATTTCGGTGGCACATCAGTTTGGTACCATGTTTATAAAGGAAGAAAGGTATGTCCATTAAAAGTTTCCAATACTTTACAGTTTTAGTAATATCTTATGGATTTTTACATTCTAGATTTTTTGGATTATTGAACCTACAGAAGAAAATATACTGAAGTATGAAAGATGGATATTAGAAGGATCGCAACATGAAGCATTTTTCGGTGATCTTGTTGATAAATGTGCGAGAATAGAGTTATATGAGGGTTACACCTTTATTATTCCATCAGGCAAGTACTTCTTTGTTTCACGCTGCTTTATTAGAAGATTTTACAAATTTTGATATAAATACTGGCTATATGTTTTTATATTTCAGGCTGGATTCATGCTGTGTATACTCCCGAGGACAGCTTAGTTTTTGGTGGAAACTTTCTTCATAGCTTTTCTATTCCAATGCAGTTACGAGTCATTCGTTCTGAAAACATTCTTGTGGTGTGTAAATTGAATTAATAGATTGGTTCATCATTCCATTTGTTGCTGTTATGGTTGTTTACTTTCAGATTAAAGAAAAGTACCGCTATCCGAGTTACATGGAAATGGTATGGTATGTGATAGAAAATATTATTAAGAAAGCAACTGGCCGCATCTACAAAATTAATAAAACGAGCGAGGTACTTTATCAAAGTTGTGAAATTACCCAGTATTATATACCCAAATTACTCAATATAATATTTAAAATATATCTTCTTATCCTCAAGTTTTCGAGTAGTATTGCTTCCATTGCTTCTGGACATCTATAATTCTTCGTTTTGTATAAATTTTAATATGAATTTTTTTTACTTTTTTTAATGCCATTCAAAAGCTATTTATTTTTATTTGTTGTTTAATTGTTTATTGTTTATTTAGTATTTATTTTTTGGTAATACTATTTAATTGTTTCATTCAGCAAATAATTTGACTTCATTTAATTGTTTCAGGATGTATCGGTTAGCAATGATCAGAAAGTCAATAACAATGCTTTAAAAGAGGAAGCTGGTAAGCTTAAAACTAAAATTATTTCATTTGTTATTGTATGAATCCTTGCATACAGTATCATGGCTGTTTTTATCGCGTTTTAAATTTGTTTGATTTTTGTTTCAGTTTCTATCTTTTTCTGTTAGTTGTCACGTTAGAATTACTTCAGATATAAAAAAAGAAGCGAATGAAGCTGTTGCCACATGCGAAGCAAATATATCAGCAGAAATAAAAGAAAATGAAGTGGACTCAGCTGTAAAGGTTTTTTTTTTTTTGAAGCTTTTGTTCACTTTACTTTTTCATTTCTTTGTTTTACTTATTTGACCACAGCATTTGAAGAGTTGTTTTCCGTCTTAGTATAATGGGATTTAATTTATGTTATATAAATAGAAATTGAACAAAGTACAATAATTGGTAAGGAAGCAAATGACCTTTTTTTTTTTAATTTGGTGAGCAAAAGGAAAAAGAGTTAGGGAAGTATATGAAATGACAGATGAGTACTGCTGAAATTTAATTTTAGTTGAAATCCTTCCAGCATATTAAGTCGCCAAGTACAACAGAAGAGAACAGTTTGACATATAATGACGGTTGGTTTTATTTTCCTTTTATTTGTTTCCTTTTGCAAATTTAATTTTCAAAAATTTTTAACAAATTATCGGACAAATTACTGAAATTAAAAGTTGCCACTTTAATGACTTTAGAATTAAATGACGGATTTTTTGATCCAAAAATTTTAGGTTTGTTTGACCATATTCAAATTTGAACTTTGTATGATTCACAATAATAAGTTCGCGTTTTAGAGTATCTCTCAACAATCAGCAAAAAAGAACGAGAAGGATTTAAATCGTTGCTATTTTATGTGCGAGAGATTGTTACTGATCATAAAGAATCGGCAAATCAAGAGAAAAGTGATTTATTGGATATTTTTGAAGTGAGTTTATTTGATTTATTTCTGCATTTTTACTTCACTATGACCAGATGAATTTATAGATTTTTATAGAATTTATAGGTTTTACCCATTCAGGTTTTTGATTCGGACCTTCTCTGAAATTTATTTACATGAAAATTATGTCAATCATAAATATATTAAAACCACAAGTTTGTTTTTTGCAGCAAGTACTAAATCACCAAGTTCCCGAACATTTCGTAGTCGGAAAAGAAAAGAAGAATGAACAGCAGATTTCACCGAAAGTATGATTTTTAAGTATTTTCTGTTTTGAAATTTGGCTAATTTAAGGTTTGATAGATAAAATTCCTTAAATTACATCATAAATTTCCATATATTTCCGTTATGTTTTCTAGTTAAATCAGTGGTTGGAAGCTTTTGGAAAAAATAAATCGCCTATAGTCAAGCGAAAAGTACCTCCGAAGGAAAAAGGTTTGCTTTCAGACTTCTTACTGATTTTACATTAATCACAAAATATGTCGATTTTTCCAGTCATCGAAACACAACAGTTTACGAGACCTAAACCACCCAAGTCAAAAGTTAAAAGCAACAAAAAGCCGGATTATCATAAACCTGATGGACCATTAATTGTGGGTGGCATTCCGCCAGCTATCATGCCGGCTGATGCACCTCAAGCACCTAACCCATATGGTTACGATCCTTTGGCTTCTGTTACTCCGTTGGGACACAAACAATTACCTTCTGCTTATAGACGCACACCTGATGTAAGCACTTATCTCTTGCATAATTCACTATTTTAATTAATTTTATTATTCGCAAATAGTACTACATTTAAATAAGATTATATACAATATGCATATTTTAGATGGCAAAGGTACCACCGACCCAAAAGTTCCGTCTTCAACCTCAGCTGTATAAAGATGTGAAAGCTGCATCTGAAAAAATGGAAACAGTATCTGAAAAAACTTCGGATAAGTCGTGGTCGACGAATGTTATATCGGCACCTGGACCTTCAAATGATAGTAAATCAACAGAATATGAAAGCAGAGCTGCAACTACTACACATATTGATAATGAAAGGAGCTTTTATCATAGTGGTCTGTCTTGATATATGTAGATTGGTATTGCTAGAGCTCTGACTAATTGTGATTTAATAAATATAGTGAGTGAAGTAAAGGTCTATATTCCTTTACTAGTAAATTTTTGACTGCATGTAGAAGCCGTTTTTCTTTTTCGTAATAATATTGTACATATTTTCATTGGTTATAGAATCAGCTCGGTCTTACTGCGATCGAAGCAAAGATAATCAGCGTGAAAATCGCCATGTTATGAAGGAAGAATATCCAGAGTTGCAATATCGATCACCTCTGGTACGACCTGGTCCAAGTATTAGAAGAACGAACATGTTGGTATTTTATTCATCCTCTCGAAATGAAAAATACTGGAAGCACTATGATGGAAATCTCATCAAGGCATCAAATGAGGACGTGTTTATATACGACTCTGTTTTTACTCACTTTCAATCTTTTTTTACTCACTTAAATTTTATTCTTAATTTTAAAAACTTGACATTGTAACAGTTTTCAGTGCTTCGAAACTTAGTCGTAATTCATATCGATATCCAGGCAATACTTTCAAACGGCGATATACTGATTCCTTTCCGGCTACTGATTGCTGGTAGAATTTTTTTCAGATAAATCTTGCAGTTAATGGTTTAAAACTTTTAAGGGTTGAGAGGAGATATAAGGAATTAAAGAATTTTATTCAAAATTTACTTCCAGAAATTCTGATTTAAGAAAAGTTGCTCTTTACATTTTACTGATTTATAATATATATCTTCTTATTTTCCGTCATTCAAAAATATTCAAGAAGGCTTCAAATTAGACACGTGGTAGTTGATGTGGAAAAATTGATTTTGTAAGGCTCTAGGTTAACTGGATGCAGAGGAAAAAGACGTGCAAGTGACTGTGACACAAAAAAAAAAGACTATTCGACTTCTTGGCGTCCAGAAACGCATCGTAAATTTAATTCTATGGATATGACCGGTATTTTCCAACAGTCATTCGCTCTATCTGGATCTAAGGAAATGCCACCTGTCATTCGACATAGTTATTCAGTACCTGGTGATCCTCGTCTTCCATCTGCAGAAGGTTCTAGTTATTCACCACTGTTGGCTTTTCTTTGTTATTAACCATTCTCTGAATACCATTTTCTTTGGTTATGTTAAATTTTAACTGATCTAAACAGAAATTTTAGCTGTAATTGTAGGATTATCAAGATGGTCTCCTGCTACGACTAAAAATGATGAAAAAAGCAGAGAACTTTCTATTATTCAGCCAACACGAATTACTGAGGCATGTCCAAGTGAAACTTGAAGAAAAAATCATGTTGCATTTTTTTATGAACTTATTTAGATAGCAATTTATAAAGATTTCAATTTTTTTTTTCTTTTTTTTGTAAATTTATCTGGATAGCAAGTTATAAAGAATTTGAATTTTTTTTCAACTAATAATCTAACTTTTAGAAGCAAGGTTTTAATATCAGCATGAATATTTCTCCGTCAGGTTGTCGGAAAATGTCTTCTCCAGTGGGTCTTGTTGGAAGCTCACAGTATGTCCCTCTACTGAATCGTGAACGAAATTCCATTCCATCATCCTGTGATGTTGATATTGCGATGGTTATTTTTAAGCTTGCATTTTTTTTACTTTAGGTGAAATTTTAAGCAGTTTAAATTCAACAAGATTACATAGTTTTGAAATTATTTCAGCAAAATACCTCGGGAAATGAACATGATGCAATTGCAGCGGTACCTTTGCTTTCTTTACCCATCAAATGTTCAGTTTCTTCATCAGGCATGACTTTTCTTAACAGTTCACTTTTGGTGATTTTAAATCGCTTTCAGATTTCATATATACATTTGTTACCATTTCAGAATCCCACAGAAGTGCTGTCGAACCTGTGAATTCTACAGAGGGAATTAAACCTGAAATCCGAGATTTATCAGTCACATTGAATGAAGGCAAGGAAGATGTAAGAAGTTATTTTGAAGTTTTTTTGTATGTATATGTTCCATTTTGATGAAAGATGAGGCTTTTATAGGATACAGAAATTATGACAGCCGCTGAGGAACTAGCAGAATTGACTAAAGTATTTGATGTCGGTGAGCAAGATACCGAGAAGGAAGGAATCAAGTCTTTGATGGTCTGTTCTTCATCAAGTTGACATTATTGCTGTACTATTTACATGTTCTTATTAATAACAAAAAAAAGATATTTAATGGTTCTACTAACGAGAAACTTGTTCTTGAAGAATATAAAAGCAAATGAGTATTTTTAAGGCCACGGTTGAAGAAAGAAAGTTGAAACGACAGAATTGGAGTACAAAAAACAATGATGAAACTGAAGATGATTCATCTCCTTTGGAAAATGTAGAAACTGAATCAGTTTCTCCACCGAGATTATCAAGTAAGCATCTGTTATAATACGAAAATCAATTTAATAGACTGTTGGTGCAATTTGTTTTTAATTTTAAGGGTGTTGCTTCATATTTTCAATTTTCGTTAAAAATTCTGTTTTGGGACACAGTATTTTTTTTTCAAAAGAAACGTGTATATAAGAATTAATTTGTAAGCATTCTGATCTTTTTCGTTAAGGATGTTCACAATTTGAATTCATGATTATGATTATTATACTTATTGATTTCAGAAATTCCAACAGAAACTGTTTTACAAAATTTAAGTTCACTCACTGCAGAATTTAATGCTGTTGTGGACTGAAAGCGAACTGTTATTGATTTTTTTTTTTTTTTATGCCACATATTTTATGTTGCATATTAATCTCTTTTTCAAGTATTTCATTGTTCGAATTCCATTTATTTAATAATTTTCCTGTCACTGGAAATGTTCTTGATGTAGAAACTAAATTATTGGTGTGGAAACTAAATTATTGGGATGCCAGACGTCTTCATACGAAGTAGTTTTAGATAAAATATAAGATAAGCGGATTTTTTGTTTTTATCTATTTGTTCATGTTCAATAAGTAGAAGTTTCTTATTTGTAAATATAATAACGAGTAAATTTTGTAAAAGATTTCTTTGTAATGTGTTTTATTTTCGTCTGTTTTTTATTACTGTCAGTAGTTTTTGTTTCAATCGATCAACTAACGATTTGTGCATATGAAGAAATAAGTAAATTCATTGAACTGTTTATCGTGGTTTTGATATTTTTAATGTAGTTTAATTTTCTTGTGATGGCTTTCAAAGTATGTCTTGTACATGGTGAAATTATTTACTGTCATTAAACATAGCAATGATTTTTAACGGTGTACAGTGTAGCTATTTATAGCATATAATTATATACTAGCTAAGGATGGTTAAATAAAAAATTGCATCAAATTAACGTCCGATTTTACTATGAAACTGTGAACTGCAGGAATAATTGAGATTTTATTATGAAACTGCGAGCTGTAGGAATAATTGAGATGCTGTTGCGTGTTCGGTATTATTTGATGAATTTACTGTGGTCATAAAATTTTTAAATTAAATATATCCTGGTTCTGTATATTTTGTAAAAGTTGTGGTTGCTAAAATATGTTAAATGAAATATTTTGTGGTTTTTCTAATCATAACATCAGTGTTTATTTCAGGTGGTGGAGGCGACATAATCTTTTCGTAAACATATTTGATATATATTGATAACATGAAAGGATCGTGTTAGTAGTGTAGTTGTTTTTAAAAGCTTAGGATACCATGATCCAAACAGTGTTGTTGAAGATGACGATACAGTAGGCAAATTCAAACATTGTTGGGTAAAGGATTCACACGAAATTTGTTTCGCCCAGTTTCTGATGTCGCTATTTTGTGCAGTATTGTGTTGTAGATAGTTTGTAGAATGGTACTCCGAGGAAAAAATGCAACATTGGTAGTTATTGGAGATATTGGTCGAAGTCCACGAATGTGTTATCATGCTAGATCGTTGGCAGATAAAAATTATCGAGTGCAAATAGTGGGCTATACGGATTCAGCGATACATCAGTCCATACAGCACCATCCATATATTAGGTATTCTGATTTACTTGTATTAAGATTAATAATCCAGTTGCATGTTGTCAGATAATAACATTATGCTTTTCGATATCATCTGGCGAAATATGAACGTTTTCTTTTAATGTTTGTTATAGGGATAGATCATTTCGTTTTTTTTTTTTTTTTTTTTCGATGCAAATCAAGGTTTTTACTGCTCAGTTTACTTAAATATCCTGGATTGTTTAGGATCCATCAGTTTTTCTGTACTTCGAAGTACAGAAAAATTTTTGCAGTGTTGTATCACTGAGATGTCCCCCAGAATATATCTGTAAACTGCGTCCTATCTTTGCTTTGATACTAAAATTTTTATGGACTTTGATTGTTCTGTTGCTAACGCTGTTTTTTCGAATTGATTGGCCTCTGTTGATTATGGTGCAAAATCCTCCTGGACTACCGTCTCTTCTTGCTTGCTGGCTGGTTGTTTCTTTTACTTTTTAATTATACGAAAGGTCACCAAAAATTAATGTATTTTATACATTTTGTTTCATTCTTTTCTGTCTATTTCGTATAAAGCTATCTTTGATAATACTTTTTAACATATTAAATTTCAGTGTGCTCGTATTAGAAGAGCACAGTTTATCATTGATTGGCATAATTATACCTATTCCGTATTACGCAAAAAATATAATATCGATGAAATACGCGTTAGTCGTGCCTCTGAGCGACGAATACAGAATTCTCTAAATTGTTCTGACGATCATAGCTTGGGTATTGTCGTTTTTGATAGCGTTTTATTGAGACTTCTCGAATCCATAATTGCGCATTTGAGAATTTTGAAAATGTGGCATAGATCTGAATTTCTGTCTATATTTTAGTGGTAAATGATGTTTCCGGTATGCGTGGAAAAAGAATGACACGAGTAGAACGAGCTGTTCAGGCTGCAGCAGTTGCAGCAAATAAAAGAAAACGCCAAGCTGATCGGAAGAAAAGATGTTCAATCGTGCAGAGGTTAGATTCCAGCGAAAAAAGTGAATAATTTTGATTCATAATTTATAGGATGTGGGTGTTAACTATAATATAGTAGGTTTTTATTTTTTCATTATTTCTGAAAATATTTTTCAGATTTGTTGAGCAGATATATTATTGGGAAGGTTATTTTGGTCGCTGTGCTGATTTGAACATTTGTGTAACTCATGCTATGCGTCAAGATATGTTCGATGCATGGGACATTAGTGCGGCTACAGTATATGATCGGCCTCCAGCTTGGAGCTTTCGGAAATTGACTGATGAAGAGCGACATAAATTCCTTTTGAAACTAATCGATTACGGTGGTGAATTCGAAATTTTTAAAGCTGTTAATAACCCATGCTTACAAATAGATTGCATTTCCATGGAAGGTTACTTTTTGTATATACTTGATTTTATTTACAAATATTTGGATTTCGAATGCAGCAGCAAGAAACATACTACTGTTTGCTTTCAGAAACGCTTATCTCTTACCGTGACAATGAAGGTAAAGTCCAGCTCCGAAATGATCGCCCTTTACTTCTTGTTTCATCAACAAGTTGGACAGAAGATGAAGATTTTGGACTTCTACTTGACGCTCTTCGTGAATTTGATAATATTGCTAAACTCTCTTCGAGAACGTACGTTTTCATAAATTAACTCATTTTTTTCTGTATATTATCTTTTTTCGAATATTACTTTTCATATGTCTCATTAGGAATCCAGCAACTCGACTGCCATTCATAACGTGTATAATTACGGGACGTGGACCTTTGCGGTCGTATTATTTGGGTCGCATTGAGCATATGCAAATGCAAAATGTTGAAATATTAACACCATGGTTAAAAGCAGAAGATTATCCGTTTTTGATTGGTTGTGCCGATATTGGCGTCTCTCTGCATACTTCTACATCAGGTTATAAGTTCGTTTGATTTGACAGCTTCCATTTACAAAACCTCCTTAATTTTAAACATACATTCGTTTCATTAAAAAATATCTGCTGTTCATATTTTCATTGTTGAAGCCTTATATGATTAAGGTTTGGATCTACCAATGAAGGTAGTGGATATGCTTGGATGTGGTTTACCTGTCATTGCCAAACGATTTGGTTGCATTGGTGAGCTTATTTCTGATGGCCATAATGGCAGGCTATTCGACACTTCGCATGAACTTTCACATATCATTAAAACATTGACATGTGGTTTCCCTGTTCATTGCAGTGTTAGTTTTAATCCATACTAAAAATTGAAATCATTATTAGTACAATAAAAGATTAGAACAGTTGGAAATCCTATTCTTCAGTACGTCTTATTTATAATATTATCAGATTTACATGTTCTGCATGTTACAGCAGTTGAACACACTGACATTAAATGTTCATTCCAACCCTTTAATATCGTGGAACAAAAATTGGGATGCGTGCTTGTGGCCATTGCTGAATAGTTATGGAGCTTTGTCAGTTGAAGATTTGGCACGACGTCAAAGGTGCTGAATCTTTATTTGTTTCTCACCTAATTAATAGGATAAAAAAGTGGCACAGCGATTGCTATAAGGAAATTGACAGTAACTCAGTCTAGCTTCAAATAGTTGAAAGAAATTATGCAAACATATAATAGGTTTTTTTTTTTTCTTCGTTTTTTTCATTCTCAGGAGGAGTTTTTGCCAGTATTTTGCTTGCATGATAAAATGTTGTTAAGATTCGCTGTGATCTCACTTCAAAATCGGCCAGAAACTGCTGAAATACATGACATACCAGAGCTGAAGCAACAGAAAAATGATGAGCATGAAAATGTCAGGTTGGAAGATACTGCAGATGATTGTGGTATTGACTACTTACAAAAAGCGTTTTCAAGAAATTGACTTCAATTTGATGTCTCATTGCAGTTCAAGATAAGGTTGTGGATTGAGAAAGTTTTTACAGGTCAATGATTTTCAGTAATTGGAAAAATTTGGTTCATTTTGGTTTTCTTATGTACAAAAGATTGGAAGCTTTAATTTTTTGTGACTGGGAGCTTGCGATGCTATTGTTTTCCTGTTTCTTTCCTATGTTTTGTAAATTCTTTGATTTATTTAATGGAAGGATCTGTATGAAAATTAAAAGCAATGTATCTTACACCAAAAATTTAAAAATGAGGTTATCTATTTCATGACGAATTTTTTTTTTAAGATTCTTGGAATCAGTAATCGTTGATTATTGCATGACAACGAGAAATTATTAGGGAATACCTTTAAAAAAATAGGGAGAGAAGATTAGAATTCATTTTATTAGGATTAATAAGTTCTCTATGTGATTAATTTATTTGTACATTTCGTACTTTTGTATCTGTAGTGTTGTTGTGATGTGATTAGCAAGTAATTGATTATACTCATTAAATTTTAGACACTTTAGTTCTGTTCTTTATATGGACCTGCAAAGCAATATATTCATTATTTACTCTTTACTTTTTGTCGTCCGGCGGCTTGAAGCAGTCAGTGAGTGGGACATTTTCCGAACTATGTATTCAGTTGGTCGTTAAAATGATGTGTTCCTGATGAAATTAAGCGAAAATGTCTACAATAATCTGTCTTGTAACCGGGTTATACCGTACCTCCCGCAGCACTGAAAAAGATCTGCTTCTTTTCCAACTGCTAGAATTAAGCCAGTATTTCATAAGGTCACTTCAAATAACTATGGTGTTCCGCTTAGATTATCCATATCTCTGGGTTGTTGATGTATGTTTCATTTTTCCATAAATCAAGAGAGCACTTCTGTCGAAGTGTGTTCATAATTATATGCGATGTATATTCATTACTGCCGCATTTTATAGCAAGAATGCTACCGCTGGTGACGATTGCGTGCATCCTTCCAACAATTCCTATCTTCATTTTCTCATTCCTTATTATCGGTTGTTGTAAGTTCATCTGATAGACACATTTTGAATAATTAAGCAATACTGGAGCTACATTTTCAAATCATTTTAGAAAAAAGAAAAAAAAGAAAAAACATCTTTAGTGCTTGAAAATTGCAGTTTTCTTCAAAACTTGAAGTAAATACATGAAATGATCCATCAAAACAGAGCAAAGTGTTCTGAATATTATATGGCTGTGCGACTTATCAAGTTAACCTTATAAAATGAATTTATACTGATGAAATGTCCTTACAGCGTTAAAAGGACATATGCAAATTCTTTAGCTTCCAAAAAAGCAGGACCTGAAGTAGGCGGAGAAAGAGGAGGGAAAAGGACTACGTCAGCAGGTCAAGGGCAACCAGTAACAACGCCAAGGTCAACAACACCCGCAACAGTACCTCCTCCTGTTGTGCCCGCAGAAAAGGTTTCATTCAACTATCTGAAAGTAGTATACAGTGAGTACACGAACAAACATTACCTCTACAGTTAGTATAACCAATGTATGTAAATCGATTTTTAGAAACCAAATAAATAAATATTGGTTTTTTTTTTTTTTTTTTAAATTTAAAGAAAAAATCATTTCTACAATTTTTTGTTATAACAAATATATCCAAAATGGGTCACAGGAATTGAAGTAACTTATAAATAGTTCATTACGAAAAAATGGATGCGGAAAAAATCAGGGAGAATGTTTTGTCGTATTTCAACCAGCTGAAAAATTCTGATTTGTCGAGATTGCAGAATGCACCGAAGAAAGAGACTAATACCGCTGGTGCTATGGTTGGAGGTGGCGAAGAGGAAGATGGGGGATACGAATCATGTCCTGATATGACACCTGAACAACTTGCTAAAATTGCAAACGAGTCTCCAGCAAAATAAGTCAGTAAATAACGCAAATAAAATAATGTATATGAAGCCGATTTTGAAGCTTTACTTAAACTGTAAAGGGAAGTAGTGAAGTCCTAGCATAGCATAAATCTATGATCCTTGGCTGACTTGGCCGCTTAGTTTGTGTCTTATCGATGAGGAGTAAAATTTATGAATAAATTCAGCGGATGTTATATGTAAATATGAAATGTTAAAGCCAGAAGTTAGAAAACATTAACCGCGAATCATTATATTGCAAAATGTTAAAATGGCATATTTCCTGGATATTACTGAATGCTCGACACGTCAATGTCATGAACTCATCAATATAAATACACGCTGTGATACAGATTTATTTACAACTTGTCAGTTTTCCCAGCAACAAAAGTTAGATGATTGCCATATCTCTCTTTTTTACTTCAACAAATTCTTTATAAATTTGAGGAATTTTCCAAATTCATAAGGATGATTTGGTAATTAAAATAAACTGCTTTCGTTTCCAGTAGCACTGAGACGTTGTATCATGTTGAGTTGCTCACTCATATCTACTAAATACATATAAAGGTAACAACAGCGCCAGCAACCAATGTGTGCACATAGTTGAGGACAATGATAGCAAAATGAAGCTCATTGATTCGTTGTACATGTAATGTTAGCATAAAGATGAGAGTGGAAAGTAGAACTGAGTGGAGATATTTCCGATAAAAAGGTCGAAGTTCGTTCTTTTTGCCATCCTTCGTGACATGTAGACAATATCTGCGTGCAGACGAGATTAGGTTAAGCGAAACATAGCAATTTAAATAACTTCCTAATTTTCTTTCAAATGTTTCACTTCCTTTTACAGTGTTATCTTTTTGCACATTACCATCTCCTATCCTTTCCTATAAATAGTAACTTCCTAGAACAGAATATAATCAATAATTCCCCTTGCGCCTCTAAGCACTTTCGGAGAGTTCTATCGAGACAATTTATTAGATGAATAAAACGACGACCGACATTGAAGTCTTTCTCACTCTTATCACTATAAAATATGCGTAATTTACCTGATAGCGCAATGAACTAAAGCAGAATAGATGAGGTAAAAGACTGCATGACGATGAGGTGGCCAAAGTTCATACATCTTTCTTAATTTTATACATTCTTTTGCATAGCATAGAAACTGAAATAATAAAACGGAATAAATCATTTTTTTGTAAGTAACAAAATTCGAAAATAAATTTCAAGCTTGTTGCACTTTTTGTCCCAATTATTACAAAAATTCCTTTGATATCATTTTAAAATCGTCTCGAAATATTCATATGGAAGAAAAGAAAATTTACATGAGAAATGTGTAACCTTTTCGAAATATCCAATATGTGAAGTCTGGAAAACTAATGCAGATATTGCTAGGTTAAGTACTGCTGCAAGAGAGAGTCGTAGCGACAAGTTTGACCAAGATAAATATTCCTTGTACTTTGGAAAAAGCTTAGAAATGAAGAGAGTATGAAACCACATCATTGGTACCACAAACATAAATCGACTAGAAAAACAAATTTTGCTCATTAGTCTTTTGTTTTTTGATTAATTAAGGAGGAAGGAACAATCAATTGAATTATATTCCATCTCTTCAGCAGTAACAAAAATAAATTTACAAATATGACAACCGGAAGAACAATTCTAGGCATCTGAATTAACTCTCAACATATTGTTTTGGTAATAGGATCTAAAACATCTATGATGATTCCCAAAAACTCATATTTATTTGAGGAAAAGTAACAGAATGTAGAATACCGCCAGTATTAAGATGCATCACCTAAGTCCAGAATATGAAAATCTCCACCAAAGATTAAAAATGTTTTCTTCAGGAGTTGGCAATACACGCAATTTGTAACATCCGCTGAATGTATCTTCTTTGACCTACTTGTAAAGGAAGGCACTGACCGATTTCCGATCATCGTCGCTTTTTGTCTGTTGCAGAGATACTAACCACTACGAATTATCTCACTCAAAAAAGCAGAGCAAACTTATTACAACAAATTGAAACAAAAAGGGCGAGGAATTTACCCATGCTTGAAGGAATGAGCGTTTCCAATATCGATTCTGGTTTTCAGAATCTACTATCCAACTACTGCAAAACATTGTATTTCATCATGTTTCTGTTTGTTGCAAGGTTACTGAACCACTACAAAAATTCACTCAAAAAAACACTCATCCAACTCCAATACCATAACTGGGAGCACTAACAAATGACGAATTTTCTACACTTTTTACTGATAATTCTTTCGTGTCAAGAAAACAGTATCTATGTAATTCACTTTAAAAGTCTAGATATTTTTAAAAACTCATTTTAAAAGTAGAACAATTAATATGTCGAAAAATAATTTATTTCCTTTGTATGTTACCAATTATAACAAGTTATCGTATAACAGATGAAATTAAAGATAAGTTAAAAAACAGAATGTGAAGATAGGAAACAGAAAAAGCCGTCAATGAATCTGTTATAATACATTTTAGTTTGGCCAGTAAAAATAACAATCAAATTATATCAAGGACTTTCTTCAGCTGAACAACTAACTGCCAATCCGCTTTTGATAAATCATTTCGAAAATGTGCTTTGCAAACATCTATTGTTTCACGTGTTATCTGAATTAAAGAAATAGCTTAATACAATCTCACTTTCATCGTTACTCAATTGCTGAAGATCTTGTTACTAGTTCAATTTCTCAGGCCGATCAAATGCTTTGAAATTTCAGATGTGATTCAACACTTCAACGCATGCCAATTAATAACTGATAGCACTGATAATATTAAAATTAATTTTTTTTATAAATGTCGAACAATAAAATAATTAGTTTTCCTACTTTTTTAACATTTGTAGAAACTTACCCGGCTAACTAATGTATCTTGATGCGTGAAATGTCGTCCATAAAGTTTAGGTGCTTCACCAGTTGTGTTCTCTATTTTTATGCAAACTTCTTCCCCCGTACGAGCTATTTCCACTTGTTCATGATTTCGTTCAATACTTGATACAGTACCGATGAAAATAGACTGAAATTAAAATCAACTAAGAAATAACTGAAAAAAAAAAAAAAAAAACATGATTTCATTCTCTTTTGGTAGGCCAACTCATTAAGAACAGCTTTGAAATTCATGAGAACTTACGTCTTTAGAGGGAACACATAATGGAACACCTCGTTTAAGTTGACCAGCTTCAACAGATACACCAATTATAATGGGATTACGGGCATTAAATATGTGCTGCGGAAGAATTCTCAACTTGCATGGAAAAATTGCTAAATGTTCGTTCTGCCGTCGGCGTTTAAGTCTCAACTCTTCCCTGAAATTTGAAAATAATAGATAAATTTCCCCTTTACTTTATGGATATATTTCTGATGCCTCTTTAGATTCGCGTTTAAAAAAATGATTTCCATGTACAGTGGATCACAACTACGGATAAATACCTGTATTATGCCACATACCACATGTTTTGAGAAATACAGATCTGTGAAAATAATTAGTGAACTGGTGATAAGTTTTTCCTTCCAATTTCCCTTTTTTTTTATTAACTCTCAATTTTCTCAGAAAAATTCGACATATTCTTTTATGGAATACTTTGGATTAGTATCATTTTCCGAATATCCATGTTGTATCATTTCTAATTTCTATAGAATGAAAATCATATACCTATATTTCAAGAAACTATCCTCCAGGTGGTATATAATGTCAGCGGAGAAAATGCGAACACCTTCACTAACTGCAAACTGTTCCACCTCACGGTCAACACGAACATCGAATGCAAGTATGCAAGCATACTCTTCTTTCCTTTCTAACATTGCTGCTGCTTTCTGCACATCTTTTTTATGTACCGGACCGATATTCACGTTTGAATAAGGTATTTTTTGAGTCTAAAAATATTTTTGCATTTCATAAAAACTTGCCTTTGAAATGAATAATTATAAAAAAAGTGCTAGAAGGATAAATATACCCTCAGGAATTCTAACAAAGCTTCCAATGAGCCGAGTGTACTAGCTTGGACATACACACCTTCAGGTTTCTTCTTGATAGCCATAAGAGCTTTACATAACTGTGCCTCACAGTCCTCTCTGAAATACAATATATCTGCTTAAATTCTTAAACTTTTAAAAGTAAAAAACTTCCAGAACAGAAATGAGATCTCATCATTTCACAAATGAAAAGCATACTTGAGTACGAGAAGTTCATCTTCTCGATTTGCAACAAACACTGATAAGCCAGCAAGTGCTTTTTCCAAATTTTTTGCAAGTACTTTGACTCCTTGTGCACCTTTTATCATTTGATAATGCTCATATGCATTCTAAAAATATGACGATATTATACGTTGAGTACACACCAGTATGAAAAATATCCTTAACTTCAACAGATCTCACATCTATCACCAAACATAAATGATTCAAAACTACTTTCATACAAAAATATTGTCAAATACAACTACAACAGTTTCTGAAACTACAATTTTCAAAACGAAGAACTAATTAAACCTTGACTCTCAATTCTTTCAAAGGCTGCGGCATTAACAGCTCTCGAATCTGAGTGATGATGGCCCCATCAGTACCCGTAAGAACAATAACATCCCCAACTCTTAACGAACCATTGACCAATATAACATCTATTGTAGTTCCTAATCCGGGAAGAGATTTGACCTGGGAAAAAATTTTTCGACATTTTACTGGATAAACTTTAAGTATATACTAAACAGCTAGAAACAAAGATTAAAGAATAATTATACTTATTTCCCTTACCTCCATGACCGTACAGTCAAGCTCTTCGCAATAAGCTAACTTCTCAGCTAGCCTATTCTGTGAATCACTAACAATATGTGCCATAATATTACCAATACCATCACCAAGAAATGCGGACGTCGGAATCATACTAATATATTCGTCCAAATCTGGATTTTCATTTGCCATAACAACGTTCACTCCCTTGAAAAAGAATGACGTAACAAGATATAAATTTTATAATAACTCATGCCACTTCATAATTTTTTTTGTTAATTTGGCAAAGAAAGAAAAAACTTCAAAAAGTGTTCGAGTTCCATCTATAACCAGTAATCGGAACTTCCTAATTCTTAAAGCATTTTTTTCATTTTTTTTTTTCGAACTGAAACAGCTATGCTATCCTTTGCTTGACCATCGCTGTCCAAATTTCCCTCTCTTTTAATAAATATACCTGTTCAGCGAACTGCAATACAATTTTATCTTTAAGTTCTTTGAATTGCAGCTGAGTATTGAGTGGTTGTGATTTCAAATGCTGATAAATATCTTTCCGTGGATTCGACTCGTAATTGTATAAACGATCGATCTAAAGGCAATAAATACAGCAATCATAAAAAGCGAAAATTATAGTAAAATGGAACTGTGAAAAATTATACTAAAAATTACCTTATTTAATGCTATCACAAATGGAGTTTGCCTTTTTCTTAGCAAATTAAATGACTCCAGTGTCTGTTGTTCAAGTCCGTGCATTAGATCAACAACCAAAATTGCATAATCACATAATGAAGAACCGCGAGACCGCAAATTTCTACAAAACTAAGACCGGGCACTCAATAGATTAAGATTTTAATGAATTTCATGTAAAATAAATTTGAATGTTCTCAGTACAGCGTGGAAGTTATAAAATACATCTTTCCCATAGTCTATCGCTTCAACAATAGCTGGTTTTTGTTTTATTCTCATTAATTAATAAAATTCTACCTCTCATTCCACATCTCCTATACAATAGTCAATTGAATCTTCCTGTATGAGCGAATTAGCGCAGTTATACTGAGAACAGTACAGAGGATCCTTTCAATCAAATGTATCAAAACAGCAAAATAAGATGCTTGCAATGCTGACTGCCTACTGGATAAATGTTCCCGGACAGAATGAAAGTTATCTCACGTTGGATACAACAACTTCAATTTTTCTGCTTCTGATAATTTTTGTCCAATGGAATATTGTCAGTCTACTACCGGAATAAGATATTTAGACTGGATTTTGCACAAAATTTCATTATCATGACACTTTCCAAAAACAAAAACTTTTAGAGGTAAAAGAACTTACGAAAAACTTTCGTGACCAGGAGTGTCAATTATCAAGAGTCCAGGAATTTTCATTTCACTACCGCTGAACTGAAAGAAACAAAGCTGTGAACGAAATGTGCACAACACGCAAAATTACAAGAAAAATTTAAGTGGAAATAATAAAATCTGAATTAAAAAAATAAATCCTCACATCTCGAACCATTTTAGTTCGTTCCATAATTGCAGCAGCCGGCACTTGAGTAGCACCGATTTGTTGCGTTATTCCACCAGCTTCTCCATCTTGTACATTTGTACGTCGTATCTATTAAAATAAAAAGCAGATGTAAGATATCAACTGGCTTTGTTAAAAGAAATAGCAGAATACAATTTCAGAAAGAAGTAAAGTACCGTATCCAACATCTTCGTTTTTCCTGTATCAACGTGTCCAAGTACACAGATGACTGGTGATCGTAAGTTATTCGTTGATCGTTTAGCTTCAGCTTGCTCACGTCGCTTCTAAAAGGAAATTTTCAAAAAATGAAACAACACTGATAGTCTAGTTGAAAGACGATAGTACAACCTTCAAACGTGCTCGAACTTTCTCTTTCAACTGTTCTTTACTTTCCCGATTTTCTTGTTCATCATCACTGGTTTCTTCCTCATCTTCTTCATCGAATTCTTCCGAAGAATCAGAACCTTCTGTTTCCTCAATGAACGTTCCTGACTCAACCTCCATTGAAACCATCTATAAAAATAAAACTAGTAATCTGAACATCCACATTCATTGTTGAGAGCAAAATGAAATATTATTCTGACTTGAAAAAAATATAAACCTTATCTTCCCCAGGAGCAGCCGCTTCCACAACCCTTTCTACAGTGCATGATGCCACCTCTTCATGTTCTTCCCCATGCATATTTTCCCAGTCATCAATAACTTCATCTATCGCATCCCACGAAATAGGCATTACTTCACCTTGTGGCTTCACCTCAAGATATCCTGAGGATCTTATCTCTGCAGCCGGTAAAGGCTTAATACTTTCTGGAACAGAACGATACAAAGTTAAATCAACAAATTCAATAAGTAATCATATGAATTTAAGTAATAGCCAGTGCAAAAGGAAACCTTTATCGCATTTCAGCTCTTTTTTTGGTTTTTTCTTCCCATATATAGGACGTTTCACTGGCACATCATCACTGTCTCGCCTTAGCGCACTTGGAAGTATGATGTCTGTAAAAATATGTAAATAAATATTAACTGGACATCCGCATAAGTACATCATTTAACTTGATCAATCAGAAAGCCATACTTGAATTAGCTAATAATGCTTGCTGTCTCCTTAACTTTTCCTTCTGTGCTGGTGTCAGATATTTTCCTTCCGCCTTCAATTTCTCATCACGTTCTTTTTTCTTCTGCTTCTCACGCTCTCGTTTCTCTTTGGCTAGTCGTTCCTGAACGAAAAGACTCAGAATTTGAAGACTCCTCACAAATTGCACACACTTAATCAACTAGCAAAAAAAACTTACTTCTTCTTCTTTCGCTTTTTGTTGTGCAATCAGTCTCTCCTCTTCTTCCTTCTGCTCTTTCAGCATCCTTTCTTCTTCCTCTTGCTTCCTACGTAATATCTCTTTAATGAAATCGACCTAAAACCTTGTTACATTATTCGGGATAGAAACCCAATTCAATCTATGACTAAAACAATATTATACGATAAAGGTCGCTCTATAGCAGCAAATGAAATAAAAGTAAAACCTTCTATCTACTGTGCAATTTTTGTAGAAGCATTATAGTCAAACATACATGCTTTTTCTTTTTCGTTTCTTTCTTGTCTTCACCCTTTTTAACATCGCCTTTCTTCCTCTTCTTCTTTTCTACTACATCATTTGCCTCAAAGAAATCTATTCAGAAAAACTTTGAGTTCTTAATTTTTCTAAAAATTGCTCAGAAAAGAGCAACACAGTAAACTAAATTAATAAACATATTTTAACTAAGTAAATGGAGTCACTTACAGTTTGATTTTCCAGTGAAACAACATCTCCCTCAACGGGTGATTCAAACTCCGCTGGTTTTTCCTTTTCTGTTGTACCTTTCTTCTTTTTCCTTTTATCTTTTCTTTTAGCCATAATATCTCCATCAGCTACCAGAGTAGCTGCTTCTTCTATCTTTTCAAAATCAGCTGGAATAATCCTTTACTATGCGATTCGAAAAGTGACACAAAGTAATGAAGCTATGATAAGTTAAAAAGTCAACCTCGTACAACATCCTGCTAATTTGAAAAGAATAAATAATTTGCCTGCAATATTTTCAGTAGCTGAAGATATTTTTAAATCTTCACCAGCTCGCACTTCTATACAAGCTACGTTAACACCAGAAACTTTTTTTTTCTTTTTTTCTTTCGATACTTTTTCTACTGGTTTTTCGAGGTCCGCAAGCAAAGCATCCAAATCATCATCTTTTTTCAAACCCTAAAATATAATGCGTACAGTGCACGATAAAATATTGAATAGTGCTTGATAAAACTCAGCATGTACTTAGTTTGACAAAAATCACCTTTTTGTTTTTTTTTCCTTTTCCTTTTCCCTCTTCTTTTAGTTTTGTTGCTGTTTGTTGCTTAGAGAGCTCTTTTGCCTCATCAGGTTTATCTCTTGCTTTCATATTCGTTTTTCCTTGCTTGCTTTCTTCAATTCCGTCTGCCTGGTTAGAATTTTCACTAATACTCCCTTCGTTTTCTGTATTATCGTCATCAGAATCTTGCTGAAATATGGTAGTTTGTTATATATGAGCTAAATAACACACTGGCGAATAATCTACCGTCAAAATGACTTGGAGTTAACCCTTCAGATGAACTGCAACTATTTCCACGTAGCAAGTAGCTAAACGAAACAGTGCATAGCCAACAAAAAAAACGAGAAATGAAGCGTTATTGAAGAGAAATGTTTGAAAAAAACATACTCCGGCAAGCATGCTGAATGCTCCACTTTTACCCTTTCCATAGATGGGTACCACTGTTTCGTCATCACTCTCATTAACGTTATCAGTCTCTGAATCGGAAGATAGTTTCAAAGTTGCTGCTTTGATATCCAGATCATCCGACCTATTTACATTAAGCTTTGAAAAAAAAATGACAAAATGGAGCACTGAAATCTATTCGACATCACTGTTACCGAAAACGATGGCTAGGTTCACTCTCAGAAACAAAAGGAAGCATGACCTGACAATTCTCTCAGGAACAGACAGTAGCACAACTGTAATATCAAGGGATAGTTCAGATAAGTGACATGAATCTTTCATGAATCTTACCAGTTATTATTTTTATTGCTCTTTTTCTTCTTTTTTGTTGCCATTTTGAAGAGAAATCATTTGTTTTGTGAAATAAACTTTTGTTCACCAAATGACATGTAATCGATAAGCAGCTGAAACTGACCCCACATTTAGTCTGAAGAATCCACGTGACAAGCTGACACCAAAGGAACTGTGCGACGACACTTCCCGCCTACCATTCTCTAATTAGCTCTTATGAAAAACCGCAACAATGCAGTTTGCCTCGATGATTGGAGTCACTATGAGATTAACTATCCCAATCCGTTTGAATTTAAATGAAGGCTGGACGCTTCTTTCGGTAATCATGGGTCCTTGAAAGATAGGTGTTTGTGTTAGGGCTGGTTATCGTGGGACTATCTTAATGGTTATCACCATACAGGACTGAACTGAACTGAGATAGGCACACTATAAGTGGTCCATCAAAGGTAATTGTTTCAGTGAGTGTCGAGAGTTGGAAGAAGACTCAACTAAGGCATCATAATTCGAAATGTTTCAATAAGGGAAGTTGGTTCTGAACTGTGAGCTGAAACATGAACATTTCTATAGGTTGTGTTAGGTGGTTGAACAACTAAGTTTGTATTCTTTGGATCTTATCTAAGCCTCAACTTGCATATGTTCAGAGCATGTTATTTGATGGTAGTGCTGCCTATGAAGTAAACTATACCTTGCTTTTTTGCTCATGAGTAAAAGATTTTGGAACTAAGTCTCCAGCAAGTTTTATTTGCCGCTTACAAATTTAAGGTCGAAGAAATTTTGAAGAAATTTTATAAAATTTTTTTTAACGAAAGTGTAACAATTATCATGGTTGTTTTCGAAAAACAGCTGGAATAGAATAAAGCAAGGTCTCTTAAATGTTGTCACGGTACCTCACTTGAAGATGTCTAGTCGTTTTCCAGATAGATTTCTAGCTAAAAATACTAGTTTGAAGAATGTTTCAGAGTGAATACGGCATTACGAGATTCATGTAATAGGGATTTCAGATTCCCACAATGCTTTGATTTCAAAGCATAATGAAAAAGTTTTCTAAATAAACTAATCTTTTGGAAAGATTTGAAAATTTTGGATCAGCAGAATAATTGGTCTTTTGTTTCCCTAAAATGGCATTTGGTAATGCGGTATTGTCGTGACTTACCTGTTTTGTTTATTCGATAAGGCAGACCTCTTGATGTGAGAGTTATCCGAACTCGATACAAATCCAGGCCAAACTTCATTGAAATCTAAATACGAGGCACAATCTAAAAATGACATTTTTCCAAAAAAAAGTTTACTGTCTTCAGCGCGAATGTGAACATCAGTACAGTGAATCTTTCTTGCAAGCAACAATATGTCATAGTGAAAATTTTAATTTTGAATTCTGAACCTCTCCGGAAGAATGGTATATTTCTCAACTCTAAAAGCTTCACTTCATCATCGAATACATATGACCGGTTGTTTCTTCTACTTGCTAAGATCTAACTATCTTGTTATTTCACTAAGTGAGAAATTCAAAAACTTTACAGTGATATCCCACTTTACCAAAAGAGCCATTCTCATGCAAATTTGTCCCTAGGCTATCATTTTTGAAAAAGGTTGTACATATATAGAATTATTCTGAAAAACACTGACTTTCTGATCCATAAATTTTCCTCAAAATATCCACAAATTTTTCTGTTATTTTCTAATGCAGAAAAATTTCCCACAATTTTTATCTTGTTTCTCTTCAGTCAAGTAGAGAACTTTATATTTTTCACTAACTGTCGTAAGATAACTGAAAAAAAAAAAAAAAAAAACGACTTCTTAATATAGAATATCCTAGAAAATTTGGCAACTTTTGCGAAAATAAAAGGACTAGGACGAAAAAATAATGCTCATATATCCTTGCTATTATTGATATAATTCTAGGGGCATTGACTTTAGTATCAAAATGAATGCACAGTTACAAAATAAACAAACTAAGGAAACAGTCTGTTCAAATTGCAAACTAACTTAAGCAGATCAAATTGAAGATAATTTTACGGAAGAATCAAATAGTTTGACTCTTAACATTCTAATTCAATCATTCCAATTTTCGAATAATTAAAGTATACTGAAGTACCACTTGAGTATTACCTCCCAACGAAATTCTTTATAAAATGCGTTATAGAAATATTTTCTCTGTATGTAACTATCTAATAATATCGAAAACGATTTGAATTATTTTCTCAACATATTACAATTACAATCTTTGTCCCCCACTTCTCTACGCTTATGCCTTTTGTTGGAATTTGAAATTCAATCGACGGTTTTCATTTTGGAAACAAATTAAACAGAATTTAAAGAAGAGTTGAAGAGTTTAATTAAGCTTTATAAAAAATAGAACTAATGAAGTCACTAAATTATAGTATCCTTTTAAAATATTTTCAAGTGAAGAGTTGCAGGAAGAAAACAATGATTTTTTTATTATCAATCCATTAAGAAAAAAATATATATGATCAAATTATGACCTGTTTCATTTCAACAATTAACTTCTTCAGTTGTCCAATTTCTAAAATAAGTGATTTTCGATGGATTTAAAGGAAAACAGGTATTCTTCTTGGTGATATGTTGCAAAATGTCCGATTTCCTGGAGTTTCATGACTGCATCATTTCCCACGACAATTTCGGAAAGGTATGTATAATTATGTTAGCTGTAAATAACAAAGGTCGAGAAATAAAAATTACATGAAAGAAGCGCTTGCACAGCAGTTATAATCCTATCGTACAGAAATGAGCAGTTATCAGTGAAATTTGTTTAGAAGTAGAAAAAAAGGATAGGTCACATGCATGGTAAACCTGTGGATGACGAGAAAAGCGAGTCGTTACTATTTCTGGTACTCACATTTCGATGTAAGCATTTTTTAGTGTTGACCAGCTAGATGGCACAACGCTTTTTTTTTTTGAGTGTCGAAGACAATTATAAACGAATAGTGGGGAATTCATCTCCTCTTTCGTTCCATCCCTTTAGATTGAAGTAGGGGAAGACAAAGTTCATTCATCCTTTCCATTCCTCCAACTTCTGCATATCAAAAATGTAGTACATCTATGACCTATACAGATGACATTAGGTAATCTTCTCAGTCAGCCACGCTAATCTCAAAGGTAGATAAAACGATTGCACTGTTTTAAAAGATAATTCGTTTAAGCTACACTACTGCATGCAGTAAGCTCTAATTTTGCCTGCATTTAGAGAATGCTAATTGTGTGTTCTAGTATTCGAGTAAATGTTTTTGCACAAAAAACGAGAAGATTAAGGCAAAGAAGTTTAATTAGCAAGAGTGACAAGATATGATGGTAAGATTGGGAAGCAGTGAAATATTACATAGAATAAGAAAAGTAAGCAAGAAAATGAGGACAGTCTTTTCATTTATAACTCATTATTTTGAATGTTGATAAAAACAGCTTGCGCAGTGAAGCAGTGTTCTTGGATGCATTCCAATTCTGCCAGCTTAAAATACGCTAAAACAAGAGAATTGTAATATAAATTTATTACTCTTTTACTTTTCTAGCAATCGAACCATCAAAATAAACAAACTACAACATTTTATCTTTATTTTTCATTATCACTCTCATATCTCTGCAAGTAAAACATGATAATTCTTTGTTATACCACACTTGATAAAATTTGTAAAACATCACTGAAAGAGAAATTTATCAGTGTAAATTATTGAATTTCAAAGTTATATCAACAACAATTATTTCAATCTAAACTTTGGCTAATGAATAATCTTAAGTTTGCCTAATAATTAGCACTGATTAATATTACTAATTATCATATGTAGAAACGAAACACCTACTGACATAAAGCGTTAAACAACTTTTTAAATCCTATCTGAACAAAATGGAGATCAAAAGATGGAAAATGTTACAGAAGCTAAATGTGAAGTATTTGGAAAATGAGAAGGAAGGCTATGAAGAAGTTTGGTAACTTCCGCAATGACACCTGAGACTTTGCTCACCTTCCTAACATCAGAGGTTGAGACTGAGTGTCAGGCGGGATTGCGAAGACCTTATAGTTAACTGAAATAAAAGTCAGTACATCTCGTCAGACAGTTGCTGCCAATTGTGTGAAGTTACTTGTTTTTTACACAGAAAGCAATAAAGGCCAAGCGAATGTTTGTATGATATTTATCATAAAGATGTAAAATCTTAAGGTCCTCGAAAACGTATTTCGATATTAAAATTGTGCAACACTGTTCTGGGAAAAAAGATCTTACAGGGCTTCACTATAAGCAAGAAAAGCAACAGCCGTATCAGCACAATAAATCATTTACAAATTGATAGAGAGCGCAAATCTTACCATGAAACAAAGAATCGGTATTTCATTGAAAATTTTCAATACATGGAACGACCTAATGGTCAGTGCCGAAACCATTTGTATATACTACGACCGATAAAATAATTATACTAGATGACAAAGTAAGTGGAAGAGGGTATGCAGTTTACTAGTCAATCTTACCTATCTCATTTAAAAATATGTTATATAAACAAAAATCCGTAAACTGGAAGGTTTATTTTAGATGGAGATAATTACTATATCTGGCTTTTAAAAACTTAAGTGAGCAATTTGTGATTAAGAATGAAGTAAGACTAAAAACTTATGTGACCAGGGTAAACTCAGAACTGAAATAATTCCATTTACAATTCAATTAAATAAAATCACAAATTCAGTGTTTCGTTCTCCAAAAAAATCTTTTCTCAGTTCTCCATTCAAAACAAAAGCAAATTATAAGAAGGTTTCTTTTAGACAAAATTCAAACATTTTGAAGCGACGGAAGATATTGGTCAGAGAGAAACAGCGTACGGAGAGAGTTCGTCAACGTTCGCAAATGTACCCACTGGCAAAAACACGATGAATGATATGAGAACGATATGGCGCAGATAACTTTGATGAGAAGAGAAAGGAAAGAGAAGTGAGATTGCACATGCACTTCACAATCTAACTGCTAAAAACAAAGACGACGATTCAATCTTAAAACTTGCAAATGAAGCTCCTTTTTGTTGTCCCTCTTCCCATTTTGCTTTGTTT